ATATATATATATATATATATATATATATATATATATATATGTATAATGAAAAACATTAGTGACAGTAGCAAACAATAAAGAGCAGGTACCTAAGCTCTTGTTTCTCAGGATCATAAAGCTTAAAGAATAGCAGTAAGTCGTCCTTATTTTTTGTTGGTGGTGGAACAGGAAGTGAATCCTATATATACACCCCCAAAAACACTGTTAATGTATGAATAAAAGAATTACTGGATTGGCATACAGCCAAAACCAAACAAGACCCTAGAATGAATTACCAATCCAATCACTACTTCCAGAAACAACTTCAGTTCTGCATTATGGGCCTTATTGGAAACTTCCCTCAATGCTCCAACCTGCACACGATAAGTAAAGATAAGGTTTAAGCCTCCTGAAAAAGAAAAGGTTGATGAAATATGTGGAAAAGTAGCTGCATAGTGCATATACACAGAGACAATACGTTTAATAGTTCCAAAGAGGTTCAACGAAATAATATCAGATCCGAAAACATATTATCACAATTGTGAAACAAAAGTGAGAGGTAACTGCCAAGTCTTTCAATTCCTTTCTTGTACAATTATGTTGCGTTTCAGATATTATTTACGCTTGAATCCTAAAATATGTAATTTGCATCTCTACAATCCATCACCAGTCTTTGTCAGTTTGTTGATATACATCAAGGAGCAGAATTAAAGAAAAAAAAAAGTTATTGACTTGGCATTAGCAGAATCTTTCACCATCCATCAATTTCAGATTAAATATATCTTCAACTGGGAAGTTCCCTTCAGACTAAATGCATATTCTCATCTTTCTATCTTTAAAAGGCTAACAATGGAATATCTAATATATTGCAGGCTACATACACCCACGATAAGTTTGGTCCCTCACTTAGATATTAATGGAAAGTAAAACAACAAAATACTTACAGTTTGGGATTCCTCCTGGGGTGTCAACGGACGGTTCGGACGGTAAGTATGGTTCTGTCTTTTTGCCCATATCCAGAAGCGTTGACATTGAACCGGTATACCAAATTCTTTAGTGACTTCTTCCTTCATAAGAATACCACAAAAATTGTTGGAATTCCACATTAAAGCATACGACATAAATAAACTGGACAAATGTATAAACCTAATCACGACATAAATTGTAATAAATAGCAAAAAAAGATGTGGTTTCCAAATGAAGAAAAAAAGTATTGCTGCACATGCACCAAAGCACGCGTACAGTTATACAGTAAAAGGTTTGTGGTTTTATTTAGCATAATCATTATTGATCAAGGTAACAGTTGAACTGCAACAGTTATTTCCAATGAACAAATTCCATGTACCAACGCAATCACGAAAAAAAGAAAAAGAAATCATAAAATACTAAAATCAATAAACTAGTTAAGTATAAAACATACTAAACCAAAATATAAAAACATCAACAAGATAAAGAAAATGTAGTAACTGAATGATTAACAAAGTAGAGTCCATATCAGGGAAAATATTTAGCTAGCTATACCTTGAATTGGTTAAAAGGCATCTGCTTCTGGATTCGAAAGCTACGGACTTTATCGTGATCTACAAGATCAAAATATATGTCTTTTCCAATCTGCTCCCTCAGATCATCATCTCGGGCAACCTGAAAATGTGAATATTTAGCTTTGGAAATCCATTTATCGAAATGTGGTGGCGATCAATTTACAAATAAAGTGCACAATAGTAAAGATTACCTTGATAATAGTGTAGAGGTGCGCCTGTGCTTTGTATCTTCTCTTGTCTTCCTTCTCTTCTTGTTCCTTTTTCAGTCTTATCTGGAAAAATCAGTGAATAGATTCCATATGACATACTTCCATGTAAAATGATGATTAGATCAAATCTATTCTTTGTACAGTAACCTTACCCGTAGATGCTCTGCTATATCCTTCTCATCCACATCACATATTATCTTATCTTTGTCACCCACTCTTATATATACAAGCATGTAAGCGTTTGAGTACTTCGTAAATTTGAATGGAGTATTATTGTAGCCTGGATTAGTTTGTGGCAACTGCAAAGCAAAGACAAAATAACCACACAAACCAAGACACATAAATAGTGAAATCAAAAGAATGAAATACCACCTCTTCTTCACCACCATACTGCTCCTCCAATGCTCTCTTCACGTCTTCTTTGGTGACCCTCTCATCATCAAATTTGTACCTAAAAGATGAATGATAAATCACAAGAAACGTCATCTCCAGCCTGTTGAGACTTGAGATTATACAGAATATATGAACATATGCACATGGCAGATAGCCTGAAACGGAACTGATCAGGCAACCATGACTTGTTAAGTGGGCAGTAGATTCGGAATAAAATTTATGCTTCTCCACTCATCATCATAAATGAAACCCAGAAACTACAACGTCCTGTTTCCCATTAAATCCTTAACAATATATAAGTGAATGCATTGCAAGATGGAAAAGGATTAGATTTTCTTCAGAGCTAAGGAGCATACCACTGATCGGAAAGTGTTGGCCTGATAAAAGCATAATAATGCCCACCATGCACCCCGCCACTATGCACCAAAACACTGTTGGAGAAGAAAGAAACAAAAGAAAATAGAATGTTAAGGAAAAGGCCATGTCAAAAGCATGTTTTTACAGCAGTTGCTGCAGATGAAACAATAGGCAAGCCTACAGGTTCTTGCCACCGACTGGATCCATGTAAAACAATAAGTTGAATCCATATACATATTATTAATTACCATAATTATGGTATAAAAAAATCACGAACTCAAATATCCATGTGAACACATTCAAAGCTCCACCACATTAGGCAAATAAATAAAAAACTTGCACAATATAGAGAAGAATACGTGTAAATAGTAGTCAGCCAACGTTCTAGTTTGCAGCTAAAACAACGAGCAAAGGCCACCTACCTAAGGGAGTAATCAGAAAGCAACGAATTATGGCAGTCTCAAAGTTGGAACTTGCCAATTACCAAGGAAAATCAGACAATAGCAAAATCTGAACATCCGTAGCAAAAGGCAGGACTGAGTAAAGATAGTACTATTTTCATTCAGAATCTACGAGGATAAGCAGTTAACCAACAATTCAATATTTCAGGTAAAATTTTATAGTAACTGAAAAGTTTTATATGCAGCAAAAGAAGCAATGAGAAACTGAACGCACTATACGAAGCTGGTGTATATGATTTTCAATGAGCAAGCTCATTATGGTAAATAACGTGATGCAATTCCCACACATGCTTCTGCTCTTTAAATCAAATTTTCAATTTTAGACCACAAGCAAAGATGTATATTGTACAAGCATAATGCCATAATGTAAGTGAGACTTCAGTAGAGAATGCACAATAACCTGTGAAGCATATAGAGGTTTCGTATGCTTCTATCTGCTTCTGGCGACAAATACTTTCCGTTGTCTCTGTCTAGATCAAGTTCCAATGGAAATTCATACCGGTCATTTATCTGCAACCATGAAGCAATATGTGAAACTTAACCTTAAAAATTGAATATATATTCCAGCATAAATTGACAACGAAAACAACATCAAGAAACAAGCATCAACCTCACCAAGCAACAGGTGAAACATGACTAACACCTTAGCTACTAACCTTAACCATTGTATCCCTCATAAAATCGTACTCAAAACGCTTCAACTGAAGCTGAAGAACTGGAGGGAAATCCATGAACAAGACACCCTTCTTCGCATCCTAAGAGTAGAAACATAGTATCTAGGTCAATTAGAATACGAATTACGAAACAATATTGAGAACCAAAGGTATATCACTCGGTTTATGAAACAGAACATCAACAAAAAGATGCAGAAAACTAAAAAAAGCCAGAATTTCTCGCATCAGCAGAAAATAAAACAAACCACCAGCCTAGGCCCTAGAACCTGAGCAGATGAAAAAGCATATGACACAACTTATCAAAGCAACTTGGAAAGCTTTTCCCCAAATAGCATAACTAGGAGGCAGCCCAGTCTTTTTTCTACAGCTGATACAATAAGTAAAATGCTATGCAAAGTGGTTATTTACAAAGGAAGACTTAGAATTGACCGTGACACAAGTTCACTAGTTATTATCATCAAAAGTACCTGAAAAGAGAAAAAGGATAAGAAAATAACTCGTCCTTTTTCTTTCCCACCATCAAATTCTGATACTATAGCCATAAAATTTCAACAAAAGGTACTGCATTTTAGAAATAAACAACCTGAACGTTGAATTCGTCTCACTTGCATCTATTCCATGGAACAAAACTAGCATACAAAATGGACATCACGGTTGTATTACTAATTAACTGAATCCAAAAGAAACATCGAAGAATCTAAATAGGATATAATGTATAGAAGCACAACCACAAAGAATTTCCATAGTCATGGGTATCCAAAATGAAAATAAACTGGAACAAAATGCATTGGATTTCACTATGTACAATATAAATACACCATAAAGAAACAGAAGCTATATAAGATTAAAAAAAGTGAAACATGATAAAAGCACGCATTTCATAAGTGGAAAACCTACAGGCAGCCTAACTATACTAGATGAGCCATTAACTGAGATTCACTAAACTTGGAAAAGGATGCACCCAGATAACACGGAGCTGAGCACAAGGAAACAAAGTACTCTAGATGCCCTAAATATAACACTGAAAAGAAGTGATGCCACACTAGTAGACTTCAGAAAGACCTAAAACTAGCATAGCTGATGACAAGCAACTACTCAGAAGTGGCAAACTTCATGCTCACAATAACTATTTGACTAAAGTCTTTCTAAGAGTATAACCCAAATATAGTTTTTCACATCTCACCTAATTACATTGCATATTGATAAAAGACATTTTTTAATAATTCGTTTGACCCCCCTAAAATTGCTCCCAAAAAAATGTAGATATTTGCTTAACTGAGAAATCAGTCCTCTAACATTCGCTACAATACACATCCATAAGAAAAAAAAAAAAAAAAAATGCAGAGTGGCACCACTTCAGCAACAAAACCAACAGATTGGGGACGATCATCTCCAAGGCAGAGGAGAAACTCAGAGGTATATGTTGCACTTGTCAATAATAAAATAAAAATAACATCCATGTCCCTAGCATAACACAGCCTTGATACCTTGATTGATTTTTTTATTTTTTTGAAACTTCACTATTCAGTTATCTCCAAACACTAACTACTATACATTTCAGTCTAAATCATCACTGAGATGAGCAAGGCAGTATAGATTCTCAGAACAAAAGGAAAATATATGTCAAAGCGTCATATCTACATGGAGCAGGAAAATACCTGCAAACCATGTTCTTCAGCATGGTATTTGTTATCTCCTTCAAGACGTTCAACATCCACATACTTGTCAAAGGATGCATAAACATCCTTGCAACCTTTTACATCAAGCTGAAGGTCTGCACAAGTATTTGATGTTTACTATGAAGGAAACAATTCTAACACAACATTATCAAAGTAATGTCTGCGCAACATCTTATACCATAAAAAGATTCTTTTCTCGTTGACTTGAAGTCAACATTGATGCACTCTATGTAGTTCATATGGTGCCCTTCAAACAATTTCTGTATAGTCCCTTCTACGACAGTTCCCTGAGCCAGAAAAACAACAAATTACTTCCCAAATGACTGGTGATTTCAACATCCAAAAACAAGAATATTGGAATAACTCCAAACTGTTGGGAACCAGTACCTTCATTTTGTCTTCAAGCTTTTCGCATAAAACTCTGTTGAGTTCTTGCACATCATGTTGCATAAAAGAATCATATGTGTCCCATCCAAATGATTTAGTCAACTCTTTTGTAGCAACACTAGTGTCATGATATTGGAGCTTATAAAATAAACTCTGTAACGCCAAAGGGATGCTTCCAGTGGGGTTATCACTTTCTGTTGTCGGCATATGATATACAGCCTGAAAAGACAAATTAAAGAGGCTTCATCTTTTTTTCATAGGTCACATAAAAACCAACATATCAGAGGAAAAATAATATAACCTTTCTGAAATAAGGAATGTGGTATAAGGTTTGGAGCAGAGAATTCATGTAGCAAGTTGCTCCTTGATTCTTAAGTCCAACAAAGCCCGTTTCCTTCTTTGAATCATATGTCCAATAATCAATCACTTTACGTACAGCTACATCAGCTTGAATAACACAAGTATCATTGACGAGGTACCCCCTGCTGGGATCATAAAGCTCACTAAGAGGCATGAAAGATGTGAAACCCCAATCACTCTCCCTTTGACTGAATTGGTGCTGCGTGTCTGTGGATCCACAAAAAGACTCGTTTTTCATCACAATTGAGGCAAATAGATTCTTTATCCGAGCTCAGTAATACAGATAAGTTTATATGTTCCCCAGATAATAAGTTAAATCGTCCCAAGTGTAAATTGTATCTTTGACCATTACTATGATAAGGTGAAATTAAACCAGGGGAAACCAATTTCTGATAGATATAGAAAAGTAATCATCATAGCATCTCCAAGATCGCCTTTTACTGTTTTCTTCACTTCCTAATTTGCTTTCTGATAGGGAAGAAATGACGTTCACAGAAATATTTGAATAGATTATTGTAAAACTTCATGAAAGTTAGTTAACAGCAAAAGGAAAAAAAAAAAAAGTTTACTTGTGTGAGTAAAAAATAAAAAGCATGGGGTTTCACGAATGTACCTTTTTTTACTGTCCACTTGTCGTTCACTTGATTTACTACAGTCAAGCTAAACTGTGCATACCTATTCCACCCATATGGCAATGTGGCTGAATCAGCCACATCTAAATACATCGATAAGAAGTCCACATTATTTCCTTTCGGAAAAATAAGCACACGCCTGAGAAAACCAATGCAACTTGAAAGGTAAGTGGTCACTCTTGAACAAAACACAGAAACAGAAAAAACTAAATCGATGAGATCTAATTTTGGAACTCATGGAAAAATAAAGAACACTTTTTCTTTTCTTTTTTTAATTAATTCCAACTAACATAACAAACTTCCATCCTATTATCCAACAACGCTATGGAAAGAGGCAAAGAGTAATCACCATTTATATCCCCCAACAACGAAGACCTCAGAATAAAGCTTCTTCATATTCAATCTGGTAAAGTTCTCAATTGTCCACGTGAAACGGGATGGTTGTGGATCGTCATTCACCTGGGTTTCCACAGTTCCAGCATTTTCTGCAGGCACCACTGAAAATTGGCAATGTTATTAAATTGTAATTTGAATGGGGTAAAAGAAACACTGGTAAATACAATTGAATTTGCAGAAATCATAAGCTCTACCAACATGACAACCCAACAGCAAGCAATACAAACAAACTTAACAATAGCCTTCTAATAAAAAGAAAATAAAAACCAAGTAATTATGATAGACTCCACAGGTCAGAAGCCTCTATCCGCAAATAAATAAACAAACAAAAAGATCAAGCAGAAAGGGAGTGGGCACCTTCCATTGGCTGAGGCCCTTCAATTAATGGCTGAGGCCCTTCAACTATATCCGAGTGCGGCACCAGCATTTCTTCATCTTCTTGATGCTACAGTTTCAGAAGCCACAAACATAAATAAAATAAGCTTGATCCGGGTAATGAAAACAAAATACTCCCATATTTGAACCACAATATCCATCTACTAGCATGCGTTTATCAAACTTCGTATGAAATCAGATTAAACTAATTAACTTGAACCCCCCTTTACAGCTTAACCCACTCAAAACCCTAGTTGATCAAAATCACTCGATCCCCAAACACAAACACGCGCACATAGGCCATAAATTCTCCTTCGCATGACATAGAGTGAGAAAAATCGTAACAAAAATTTGCGGTATGCATGCATATCTACAGACACAGAAGACGGGGAGGTGAAAATGAGCATAAGTCGGAAAAATGGGAGTAGAAGATGGAGTTACATCCAACGGCGGAGGAGTCATCATCGTCATGGCCGGAGATGTTACACAGCCGCCTGATCGACAAATCACAGAGAAATAAATGTAATTAAGAGAGAGAAAGAGAAAGGGGAGGAGAGAGAGAGAGAGAGAGAGAGAGAGAGAGAGAGAGAGAAACTTTATGGAGACTTCTGGGGTTTCAGTGTTGTCTCCCGGCGGGGATATGGTGGAAATTTAGGGAGAAGCCAAGGGTAAATTGGGAATTCCGAGATGAGTGAAGAGGCTGAGTAGAGCTACTATGGTCGGGTACAAACTTTCGTATATTTTCCATTATAAATCCTCCCTATATTAGGGCTGCAAACGAGTCGAGCCGAGTCGAGCATTGGCCTTATCGAGCGGATTGATTTTTTTTTTTTTAGGTGCTCGAGCTCGAGCTCGAGCTCGTCGAGCTCGATTTTTGGTGCTCGAGCTCGACTCGATCAAAACATACAAGAGCTCGAGCTCGAGCTCGACTCGAATTCATAATGCTCGAGCTCGGCTCGAATTTTTTCAAGAAATTTTGTAAAATAACCATTAATTACATATATATACAAGGGTATTTTAGTAATTTCACATATCTCGATCCGCTCGCGAGCTGCTCGACAATGCAATATATGGGCTCGAGCTCGACTCGAGATCGTGCTCGAGCCGCTCGAGCTCGACTCGAGATCGGTCAAACTCGAGCTCGAGTCGAGCTTTGACTCGAGTGCTCGCGAGCGGCTCGCGAGCTGCTCGACTCGTTTGCAGCCTACCCTATATATAATTTCCGTTTCCGAATGTGCTGAGCTTACGTGGTTGTTTCTGGTACTTCAGAATCTTATTTGGCGAACAATCATGCTTCGTAATTAAGTTTGGATAAATAATGTTGATAAATTAATAATTAATAATCTAAGTTCGGGTATTCCATAAATATTATTTAGCTAACTTTTAGGTATTTTAATATCACTTTTACTAATTTAACCATTTAATTCTTTGTAATTTTACATAGTGAGACACTAAGTGAGTAATATATCCCTGAATTGTGATTTGTTTCCTTCAATAAGCTATTGAATTATAAATGTATTTTAAAAGTTGATAACTTTTGTATTTCTTATCGGTTTACATATATAATATATCAAATTAATCATCTTTTGATGATCTTCGATTTGACATCTATATTGTATATATGAAATAAATAAATTATATTTATCTTTATAATAATAAAAAATAATAATATTTATTAAAATTCATTAGAAAAATAAAATTATTTCTCAATTGATATATTTTTATGTAATGTAATTATATATTGTAAGTTAAAAAAAATTAGTATAATATAACACAAGTAAGTTGCACAAATATAAAGTGTCATAATAAATATATAATAATATATATATTCTTATAAAAGGTATTTAAATTTTCAAACTACTTTTTTTCATTAATTTTAGATTTTAAGAAAAAAAATTAGCAAGTACCCGTGTAATACACGGGTGTTGTACTAGTATAAACTAGTACAACACACGTATATTGCACATGTGCTTATTAAAAAATTATTCTTAAATTTTAAAATTAATGACAAATATTATTTTAAATTTTATTTACTTGTTTACAAAAAAAATATATATTATTATATATTTTAGAATGATATTTGTTACTTCTGCGGCTTACGTTTACTTTATTATAGTAATTTTTGTAATTTATATCATATAACTACTTGAAATATAAATATATTAAATGATAAATAATTTTATTTATTTTAATATTAAAAAAAATTATTATTGTTATAAAGATAAGTATAATTTAATTTTTTATAAATACAATATGAATGTTATATCGAAGTTAATAAGGAGAGGACTAATTTGATATATTATGTATGTAAAAATGATAAAAAATACAAAAGTTATTAACTTTTAAAATACATTTACAATTCAATGGTTATAATAAGAAATGGTATTAAAATGCAATTAATATATGTAACATGACCATAAATAATTAACATATTTATGGATAATTCGTACCTAATTATTTTTGGATTAGAAGTAAATTAAAATCCTCCCAAGCTTAATGACGAATCATGTAATTTTGCCACATAGGATACTGAAACAAGCGAGCTTGTCACTTAGGCTCAACACGTTTTGAAATAATATATAAGGGGGATGGACACGTAGAGAATGTAAATCTGCAATTGGTCCGCCCCCCCAAAATTTTGAGTTATCGAGTGAAGTGGGTTGTAGATAGAGTTGTCAATAAGATCTTAATGCCCTATCCTAATTCCCACCTAGCTAAAGAGGTGGGTTAGGTTGGAATTTTTCTAGGCTCGCTCGCGGGCTGCGTGTCAGGACGGGCTGGTCCATCGGTTACTTAAAAATTTATAGAAATAGGGGTAAACCACATAAATATAAAAATAGGGGTAAATCAAAACTACATTATTGCATTAATATAAAAAAATAACATGAAAGTTAGATATTTTATATTTACATTGTTTATTTTTTATAAATGATAAAATTTATAAAATGTAATATCTTATTGTTTTATTCGTAATTTTAAATATTACATCAACACATATAACATATTAAATTTTATTTACATGGTCGGTGTTAGAATATCATTTGTTAGTTGTCTTACATCATTTATACAAGAAAAATAGGCATACTTTATAAGTCTAGTTGACTATTCTTTAGGGATGAAACCTCACTTGGGTTTTATCTGGGTTCGCCCTTTTATTCTCATGCATAGGACAACACCCGTTTCACTCCCGATTCTTACATGGTATCAGAGCCGATTCTACGTGAGACCGTGTGATGACTTACCGGTCACTTAGCCCAGTTGGTTTTGGGTCTCATATAAAGCTCGGGCTTCATCTGCGCCCACCCTGTTATAGTGTGCTTCACATGCATGGGACCGCACCTGTTTCACCCCCGAGTCTTACATAGTATCAGAGTCGGTTCTACGTAGGACCGTGCGATGACGTACTCGTCACCCAGTCCAATTAGGCTTGGGTCTCCTATGAAAGACTCACGACTCACAAATGAAGGGGCGTATTAGAATATCACTTGTAAGTTATCCGACATCCTTTATACAAGGATAATAGGTCTACCTTATAAGCTTAGTGAGTTACTCATCCGATCAACCAGTTGATTTTGGGACCGCATCATGACAAGGTGATCCCAGATAAACCCAAGTAAGGTTCCATAATTGGTTGATGAAGGAGTAATTCAATAGTTTTATAAGCTAGACTTATTTTTCATGTATAAACAATATGGGACAACGTTCAAATGATATTCTAACACGTCCTTCACTTGTAAGTCCTTCCTACGAGACCCAAGCCTGACTTGAAAGTGCACCATAACAGGGTGAGTAGCCCACTAGGCTTATAAGGTAAGCCTATTTTCCCTTTATAAACATGTGAGACAACTCGCTAGTGATATTCTAACACACTACTCAATGGTCACTAGTGGTCTTTCATACAAGACCTATGCCTCAACACGGCTGAATAACGGGTACGTCATTGCACGGTTCCACGCATAGCCGACTTTGATACCATATAAGAAACATGGGGTGATATTCTAACAGTTTGTATTCACACATTCTTTGGATCTACCCATATGCTTAACCCTTCATCTATACATATGCACATGATCAAACTAGTTATGATTAGGTAAATTTGGATGGACTATTTATGTGGCATATTATTGCTTGAACATCAATACTTAACTAAAGAGATCATTGGTTTACTATTACCACACATATTTGAGATTGAAAATTGAATGGCATGCAAAAAGTGCGGCTAATAATAAAACTAAAATCTATGAGAATCAGGATTTTTTCTTTATATATTTTTTGAGTAAAATAAAACCTATGAGAATCATGTGTTAGGTGCCATATCAGTTTATTAGTAATTTATATTTCAAGTCTTAATATTATGGTTTTAAAAATAAATATTTATAGCATGTATATAATACTTTTATTCTACAAAATAAATATTTAAGAGGAATAATTATAATATTTTTGCCCCCAACCTTTAAATTTTACAATATAGATATACGTAATTTTTTATTTAAAAAAATAAAACTTTATATATATATATATTTAAAAAAGTAACCAAAACCCGTTATTTGGCGGGACTAGCCCGCCATTCTGGTGGGCCTCTAATTTGCCAGCCCGTCCCATCCCGTCATGGGCCGCGGGCTGGCCCGTCCAAGATAATTAAATAGAAAATTAAATCAAATTAAAGTAATTAACTCAGTTTTCATTTTCCATTTTCCTCTTTTTCCTTTCTTTCTCTGCACATACATCCACGACTCACACACATAAAAACAGGAAAATTTCGTTGTAGGGTTTGACTTTTTGTATTGGTGTCACAATGAAGCCTAAATTTTTAACTTTTTAATTTGATTATTTCAATCTTAAGTTATTCTCAATATAAGACCTACTTTTACATTCTACTTTTCAATTTAAGACTCCAAAATCACTTTGATTTTTGGTATAATATGTAAACAACAATGTTTTTTAAAAATTATTTTAAGTACTTATATTGAAAAATAGTAAGTATCTTTAGTAAGATTATCTAATAATATAATTATTTCATAATTTACATTTATTAATAAACTTAATTAAATTTATATTAAAAGTTTAAAAATAAATATTAACTTACTTTTAATCTATATATGTGATAACATTAAAATATAAACTATTTAGAAAAATAAAACTATTTTTTTAAATAAACTTATAGAAAATATTATTTGTAAAGATTTACTTCAATAGAATTTTTCGGGTATTGATTTTATATATTCTGACGTTTTTAAAAAATATAAATTTATTCACAAATAATATTTTCTAATAGTCTATTTAAAAAACTAAAATTATTTTTCTAAATGGTTTATATTTTAGTGTTATTACATATGTAGATTGAAATAAAATTAAAATTTGTTTTTAAATTTTTAAAATAAATTTTATTAAGCTTTTGCATAAATGTAAATTATGAAATAATTATCTTATTAGATATTTCCATTAACGACATTTAATATTTTTCAATATAAGTACTTAAAAAATAAATTAAAAAAAATATTGTTTTTTACATAATTATATCAACATACAAATTGATTTGGAGTATTAATTTCAAAAGTAGAATGTAAAAGTAGACCTTATATTGAGAATAACTTATATAAAATTGAAAAGTTCAAATGAAAGAGTTAAAAATCAAGCTTTAACACACAAACAAAAGTCAAACCCTACAATGAAATATCCATGAAAACACACCACACCAAAATCAAACCAAACAGAATTGAAACTCTCCAGATCTCTTAGTAAAAATCGGCCAAAAAACTATGTCAAATTCAAGCAACTATATTTCTCAAGTATGTGTGTGCGCGTGTGTGCCGATCGTCTATTCAGCATCAGGTGCTATTGGCGGACCGACGCCACCTTGTCGCCTGATCTCTCCCTCTGTCGCAGCCTCGTTGCCAAGAGGTCTCTCTTTCGGTCTCCGCCTCGCGGGTCTCTCCTTTTCTCAATTTCTCGCCGCCCGAAGGAAGCTGCAACAACTCCTTGTCCCCGTCGAGGGTCTAGCTCGACCGTTGGATTGGGGATTAGGTAGCCGGGCCTACAATCTTTAGTCTCTAGGGTGTGGGTCTTGGAACTTGATTAGGTACACAAAGTCTGAGAGAAGAATTTGGATTAAACATTTCTGATTTTGGTATTGTCAAGCGCATATTTTTGTTACATTATGATGTATAAAGAATTGCCTTTTTATTTATGCAAAGTGAATGAATCGGGAATGAGCAAATTGAAAAATCTGATTTTTTTTGGGTAAGATTTACCAGATCAAAACATTTTTTTATTTTATTTTATTAAGAGGTGCCCGCCCCGTCAAAGCCCGCAAACCCGCTCTTCAACGGGCCTGTAAAATCGAGCCCAACCTGCAGCCCATTTTGACAAGCCTAACTTGATAGCAAGGTAAATGTCATGCTCCACATATGAACAATAAAATAATGTAATTACCCGAATCTTGGATCATGCTCGGGTCGAAGTCGGGAGTCAGGTTGGCAGACAGATCGACAATAAAACAATCTAATTACCTAAACCTGGAACATGCTCAAGTCAAAGCCGAGTCGATGGATGGACAATTGGACAATAGAACGACCTAATTACCCAAACCTAGGTTCGATGATTCCCCAAACCTGGCGTTTTGTTGTCCAGACGACGTTGCATGTGTTATTTTATTTCAGATAGTTCATGATCTCTTATTATTTTCTTCCAAGTCGATGCCAATAATCAACGGATACATGCTCGGGCATTAATCCAAACTAGTGAACCACTCTCAAAGTCCCTCGAGCCGAATTCACAAAGCACACACATTTTATTCACTCAAATTTATTTAAAAGTACTCACAAACACACATAATTATTTACACCCATATACATATTATTGTATATACCCTCAATTTGTACTCCTCAGGACACCTTCTTCTTCGGCGGTGGCTTCACCACAAGCACCGCACATTTTGCGTGGTGGGCGCAGTAGTCGCTAACACTCCCCAAAAATGCCCTGACGAAAAATATATCTATTACACCAAATCTATTACAATTCACACCATATTTATATCTTCATATATATAATTGATCAAACAAACGAAATCATTGATAATTAGAAATGTGCAAGCCAACCAACCTCTTAATCTGGCCGAGTCCGCGGCTCCCAACGACAAGAAGATGAATGTTCATCTCCTCCACGGCACGGCAGATTCGGTCCTTCGGGTCGCCCTCCAAAATCACGGTTTTAGCGTTTAACTAATAACATTATCATCGTCACATCACAAAACAAAACAATCGTGCGTGAATAATCAAAGATTCATTTTTTTTTTTTT